ACCGCCCTCTGCCTATATAAGGAACCGCTCTCAGAGGAGGGCGTTTGTCTCTTAAATCAGAGCCTGGGCCCTCAGCGCGTACACGCGCAGCCCACAAGGAAGAAGAAGAAAAAAAAGGGGAGGGGGGGTGAGAGTGGGAGGGGAGCGCGCGCCCCCGCGGATCCGAGGTTTGCAGGGGTTGAGCCCCAGTCCCAGGAGAAAACCAGTCGGGAACTTTTTGGGACCGTGGAAGGGAGTCGGGAAGAAGAGGGATTTAGCAACCTGGTCCTTTGGGTCCCCAAATTTATCAGTGTCTTGTTTCACTGCCATTATTAAGGTTTCATCTCCTGACCCGGCAATCTGGAGATGATTTAAGAAAATCCTTCTTTCGTTTTCCAAAATACCATCTACCGTTTCCCCTGGGACCGGTTTGAAACAAGGTTTGTGAGCAGGACAGGTAGAGTGCGTATCCAAAAGCAGGCTGGAATCCTTTCTTATTCTAAGATTCCTTTCCAGACTCTCCTGGCCCCCTTGCCCTTCATCTTTCAGCCCCTCTTTATTCTTGGCCAATGATTGACAATGTTTTATTTCTTGGAATCGAACGGGGCCCGCGTGATTGCTCTCCCGGTCCAGAATGACTGCAGGGACGCATTTGAATTCCGCTAGCTAAATCTTGCCAACCGAGAGGTGTGATAACGCCTCACGTCCCCATCTCGAGACTGTTCGATGGGAAAACCCTTGAGGACCTGCTTGCAGGGCTAACGCTGGTTTCTTAAGTATTGGTGAGTGGGGCGCACTCCGCGCTCACGCGCACACAAGTCTTAGGAATGGAGATGGAGATGGGGAGGGGAGAAGGTTCAGAGGCTCGATCTCGCTACCCAGCAGATTGCTTTCCCAGACAATAAAAAGGACGCAGGGGTTGATGGAACAGTTAAATCCAATCTGCAGCAACATTTGCATGGTCGAATGATGCAGTTTGCTGTCATTCTAATTCAGATGTATCGAGTTTTCACTCGGAGCTCCCAGAAGTTTTTAAGCTCCCCGCGTGTCTGTATATCTTGAGGGCTGGGGGAGGTAGCCTTCTAAACAAAAATGGTCATTCTCTTCATTTTCCTTCTCTCTCAAATCCTCCCTTCCTCCTAAACCGACAGCTTTGTGCTGTCTCCAGTCCAATCGGGCGTTGGAGTCAAGATTTTCTGCGTCTCTCTTCCTACGGTAAATTATTTCGTTTCCCTTTTGCCCTTTCATCTCCTCTCCTTAGGCCACCATCACCTTCCTTTCTGCTCCCACCAAAATCCTAGCTGGGAAAAATTCCAGCCCACATACATAAACCAAAAAGGCGAAGGGGGATTTCCTGAGGTCCGTGGAGCTAGAGAGCTGAATAAAGGGGAACACGTTTTTCTCCCTTTAATTAAAGTTTATTTTGTGCATACATATTTAGCAGCGAAGTCACTGTTTTTATTTTAAAATGATCTTCCTTCTCCCCCCCTCCCGTGGTTTAAAGGTACCTCCGTAGGATGTTAGCAGCTTGTGCACGCCTCGACTTCCCCTTCGATTGAGAGTTTAGGTAATCTCATCCTCACTAAGAAAGCCAGCCCCTGCAATGGCAGGAGGAAGTGTTGTTGGCTCACCCCCATACTAAACCCAAACAAACAAGCTAAAGGAATCAGAGGGAAATACCGCCTCCGCCACCACCCGACCCCTAGCAATTGTTTCACCGTCCAAATTCAAATGCATCGAAACGCCCTCTTAAACCCACATCCTGGAGAGGAGAACCTGCAGCATCCAACTTCTCCGTCACCCGCTCTAGTCAACAGAAACAAACCCACCCAGTGCTACATACATACTGGCGTCCCAGTATCAACTCCCGATTTGTGATCCAAATCTCAGTGATTACATGGGACGCCTGCATGCTAATTGCAGTCCTACACACTAATCGCTAACGCAATTAGTATAGCCCTGTGACAGAAACTTCCCCGCTAGAGCCTTGCAAACAAACCATTAGGGAGAACGGAAATCATCTTCCGGGGTTTGCCTTGCCCCTCCTCTCCCTCCCTCCCTCTGCCCTGGGAAAGATAGAATGAACATTGAAATATCACCTTGTTGCCCACCTACGTTTTCAGGCCGTCTCTGCTGAAGCCGCTTCAAATTGCAACAGCAACAGCAGATCTGTAATATCCCCAAACTCTCATTTTGCCGTTTGCAAAGTAAAAAATAACAAAACATTTCGTATCCCCAAGGTGCCTGATTATTTTCGTTAGACGTAATGTTTCCAAAGACTATTAAGATAAAACACCAAATGGAACCTCCTTTCCCTTGACTCTTTAAATTGGTCCTCATTAGGTAGTTTCCCCTCTAAGGACTGTTCTTGAAACTCCCATCTTCTCTCAGTCTTCTGACCATTTCGACCAAATGAGTAGTGGAGTCCAAACAATTAACAGGAAGGAGAAAATGGGATTCGAATTAGGTTTATCACTTAAAAGAGTAAGAGTGATCATTTGACTTCCTCAGCTTCCAGAACACCTCCTCCCCCAATACACACATGCAGGTATACATCTTAATTTGGCTTTTTAATTCCACTTGCACTCTCTCTCCTCAGCCTGTTTATTTCATAAAGGGAACATTTGGCTGCTTTGGTGGGGCTGAATTGTCTATTTTTTTTTCTCTTCTGATCATTATTAACATAATTAGTCTTCTCGGTTTGCTCACATTTCCTTTAAACTTTCAGACGATATAAACGTTCATGATCGTATCTAGGGCACAAAGACCATATTAAAGGAAACATAACACCTCCACGCTCCCTTCCCAAAATAAAGAAAGAAAGAAAAGGAAAAAAAAATGAGTTTCTCTCCAACTCTTTAGCATTAGTTTGCTGATATACTGTGGCAAGATTTTGTTTTTGTTTTTGTTTTTCCTCTCAGGCATAAAATTGTCAGCTATTCAAAGCGGATTGAATTTCTTTCACTTCCTTCTTCCCCCCCCCCCCCGCCCCGCCACCCCTTTTATCCTTATCCCAAACTCCCCATATAGTACTAATAATGTATCTGCTAAGCATGCATTGTTCATGAAAAAGTAAATACTTTCAAATGTTTTCATTCTTTAAAAGCTGTTTGGTAAAATCCCATGCCCAAAGAATTAGTTACCAATGGGAGAAATTTTCGCTAACATACATAGTGTTCTCATGAACCCTGACACATGACAGTCAACTGCACAGTTAAAGTTTTGTGTTATTTTTGCCCGTGGGGAAGGATGAAGAATCTTTGTACAGTTGTTTTTATATAATATAACCAAATCTCATTTTCAACTCAAGGAAGACACTCTGACTTGAGGTCTTTCTAAATTGTAATAGTTGTAATAATTCAATTGAGATATTCCTCTAGCATAGTTAAGATCTGACAAAAGTAGCAAAATACAATGATTTTCTGAAATTAATTGTGCCTCCTAACCTCAATTTCCCCTAAACGTAACAAAAGATCATAATGAAAATAGTTCCCAAAGCTCCGGGACACAGTGCCAGGGAGATGATGGGAGACTAGGGGACATTTGAGGTTGCATTCTGATTTTTTTTTCCCCTTCCTTGCAAGAGTCCCCTTTGAGTGTACAACGGTGCCGTGGCTCTGATTCCTGCCCTCTCCTCACCTTACTCTGTGCCTTTTCATCTACTGATGTTGCATTCTGACATACACTACTTACTGCCAACGTTCTCCTTCCGCTCTTCCCTTGCTCTATGCATTTAGTGCCCACACTCTTTCCTGCACTACTGTGTGTATTAGGGCATCCAAATGACATCTGCCTAAAATGCCTGTGGAATAAAAGTGATGAAAGAGTGATCATCTTCATTGTAATCAAGACCTTCAACTTCCCCTTATTAGTGTATCTATTTCCTCTCTCCCCAGTTTCCCCCACTTGATCTCCCAAAGCCTGGAAGTTCGTGCTCACTGGTACCCAAATTATGTGTTTTTACAGTCCCACATACTAATTGCACATGCATATATGTATGTGGGTATATCCAAACGTGAATTTATGTATGATGTATATATACACCCCTACAAATATGTATATGCCTGTATATATGTATATGTAATATGTAATATGTATACCTGTGGCTCTTTCCTTGCCCGTTTCTTTTCTCCCTTATTAGTGATTTCTGTGTGGTTACATTCTCCCATTTTCTCCTTTCTGCCTATCCCTCCTCCCCCCCATCCCCTTCTTTCAGAGCGTCTATCAATGTGGTGTCAATCAGAGTGGCGGCTTCGCTTTCATCTTCCCTCTCCCCCTTTTCTGAAAGAGAGAGAGAAAGAGAGAGAGAGAGAGAGAGAGAGAGAGAGAGAAAGAGAGAGAGAGAGAGAGAGAATCAGGAAGGGGGTGGGGGGCGTCTGGAAGAGGAAGATGAGTAGGGGACGTGAAAGAAAGGTTAGGCGTTAAAATTAAACCCTAAAGGCACCCCCCACTTTCAACTTCACAGGGCATATCGATCCTTGGAGGGCCAGAAGGGGCAGCCACGAGATCCTTCCCTCCCTGTCGAAGTTGCCTGATTTTTCTCCCCCGGAGACACACACAAACACACCCCACACGCGGAGGACCAGTCCTACAGGCTCGGAGAAAAGGAAAAAAAAAAAAAAAACACCCTCAATCACCACCTCCTCTGCGCCCCCCCCCCCTTCTTAAGCCGCCAGCCAAGGAAAGAAAGAGGCGGGGGAGTTGAGGGGGGAGGGGGTGTCCAGGAGGGAGGAGGAGGAGATCCGACGCTTGTGGATAGCTTTTCAGCGCCGGAGAGGCGAGGGAGGTGGAGAATCGGCCGGGAGGCGCAGCCGCTCACCTGCAGAGAAGACTGAAGAGGAGGAACCCTCAAAGCCCCGACCGCCCCTCAGCCTCCCCCTGATCTCCGGGTTCTGTGGACTCCGCCAGAGGCGCCGGGACCAGGCTCTCCAGTCCTTACTCTCAGCAGGAGTTAGTTTCCCCTCCCCCCTCCCGCCCCCAACTCCCCCCCTCCCCTCCGCGCGCCCCCTTGGCTCCAGTAGTAGCTGAGGGGCTTAGCTATTACTTGCTCTGACAGAGACTGCGGACCCAGCTAAAGGGTGGTGAGCAAGCGATCCACAGTGAGAGAGAATTAAGGTTGGCGAGAAACTTGAGCAGGAAACAAAGAAGAGTTTGCCTTATATCTGAGACTAGGATTTCTTTTTTGTGTTTGTGTGTGTGTGTGTGAGTTTGTGTGTGAGACAGAGGCCAGTGTTTTGATTCCTTGTGCCCTCCCCGGCTCTCCACACCTCCGGTGGTACAAACTTTATTCTTGGCGAACTTTTCTCTTCCCTCCCTCCCTTCAATCCTTCCCTTCTCTTTCCTCCTCTGCCCCTGAGTTCTGTCCTCCTGCAGATATTAAATGGGCTTCGAAATGCCAAGGAGAGAGAAAGAGGGAAGAAACAATAAGGCGTAAGGACCCGCATCTTCAGGTTGCTGATTATTTGCTACAGAGATAGATGCCCATACACATCTATCGCTGCTCCAGGAAGTGGCAATTACATTATCTCCTGACTCTCCTTGCAGCTTCTCATCGTGGGAAAACGCGAACTCGGAGCCTTTCGGGCAAGTTCCGTCACTCCCTTTTGAAAACCAAACGACTCTAATATCCACTTTGTCCAGAAGATCCAGAAGATTGCGTGGAGGCCTGCCTGCCTCGCCTCCGCACTTCTGGCGAGCCCCCACCCCCTCACCACTCGCACCAACTTCCACTGGCAGACACAACAGAAGGCAGGGACTTTGGGTGGAGAAGCAGAAGCGAGCGCCTCGCTTACCAGCGGCACCGGAGTGATCGGGGAAGGGAGCCGACTTCGACAGCTTTGCTGAACCTCCCGCCCCTCGCGGTTCCTGCTATTCTCCCTCCAGGGCCGGAGTTCAGCTCTCTTTTCTGGAAGGGGAGGCACAGCTGAGAGGCCACCACCGAGGGCACCCGTACCCGCGGCTGCAAAGGAGGCTTGTTGGCCGGCTGCCCCTGAGCAAGAACCGTCCCCATTCCATTCTTTTCTTGCACGCCAGTTTCAACTCTCTCGATCCCTGCCTCCTCTCCCCCCACCTCTTTTTGTGTGCTTTTGTTGTGTCGTCGCGGCCGCGGTCGCTCCCCCGGAGGAGAGGGGATTAAAGAGCAGCCGGAATGCCCCAGCTCTCGGGGGGAGGCGGTGGCGGCGGCGGCGGGGGGGACCCGGAGCTGTGCGCCACCGACGAGATGATCCCCTTCAAAGACGAAGGCGATCCGCAGAAGGAAAAAATCTTCGCAGAGATTAGTCACCCCGAAGAGGAAGGAGACTTAGCCGACATCAAATCCTCCTTGGTCAATGAATCCGAGATCATCCCAGCCAGCAACGGGCATGAGGTGAGCACCCCACTCGCGGCAGCCTGGAAAGGCATGGGACGCGCGCAAGGGAGGAAGAAAAGACATGGGTGACTAGCTGTGTTTGTGGGTCTTTATGTGAGCGTGAGAGGGGGCACAGATGGTTGGGGTGCTGAAAGTATAACTTCTTATTTTGGTGGGGGGTGGCGGGGTGCGAGAGCATCAAGTAAATACTCATGCTTTGTGTGCACAGGTGTGTGTGTGTGTGTGTGTGTGTGTGTGTGTGTGTGTGTGTTGTGAGGTTGTGGGGGGGGTGTGCGCAGCCAAACTTTTGAAATTAGTGGTTTTCTGGGGCTCGTTGATACAGCCATCGAGGCTGTGCACGAGAAACGGTCTCGTGCGTGTTCCGCAGGAGTTCTTAGGACTCATAACCTGGAAGGAGACAGTTCAGCCCTGGATATCTTCTCTGGGCCTCAGTTTCCTCTTCTGTAATATGGAGTTGGACTAGACGGCCTGAGGACTCTTCTAGCTTTAAATCTTTCTTTCGTTCTTTTTTTTTCTTTCCTTCTTTCTTTCCTTAGTGTAGGCGAGAGACGAAAAAGAGGATGGGGCAAAGGAAGGGGGAGGGGGGTATACCAGCAGTTAGTGAAAAGTTTTCCTTCAATGCGTACATCTCATCTCTTTCGGTAGTTGTCTACCCCAGCGCGTTAAACCACCAAAAAGCATTTGGGCGAGGGGGAGAAGGGGCGGAGAGGAAGGGCGGTGGGCTGCGGGCGTGGGGCAGGGGATGAGTCTAGGGCTGCCAGCTGTGGAACCTGTGGAGCAAGCAAGGAGTGGGGCGATAGTGGGGGGACCACTGTGGGGGGTGGAGATGGGAAGGGGGCCGCAGCCCTGAGACAGAGCTGCCCGCGTCCCACTCGGCAGCAACAGCCGCTGTAGCTGAAACCCGTCACTTGTGGCCCCGAGGAATCTGCTGCGACACAGACGTGGTGCCCACAAGGTCGTTGCCTCTTCACTCACAGCACGTTGGTTTTCTTCAACCGTCCCCCTCGCCCCCACTTCATCACCTCTCTACCCACCCCTCCAACTCCCACCCCCCAGCGCGTGTATACTGCTGTTTGGGCGCTGAAACCAAGATGCAGAAACGCCGGCTTAAATCAAGATAAAGCCAGGCCCGGGGCGCCAAAGGAATTGGAGGGGGGAAGATCGACAGCTCCTTATTGGGTCTACTTGTTCTCCTTTGGACTCGCGCTTCTTGAGATAGAGCCAGTAACCCGAGTAAAGTAAATAGAGACACGTGAGTGTCTTAAGAGAAAAAGGGAAGACAACTGAAGGGAGTGGGGGGGGTGGGGAAGGGGGAGAACTATGTCTCTTGGATGAACACCTACCAGATGTGTGTTCGATAACTGTCCAGCTAAGTGCTGGGATTGGGGAAGCTATCTGAATTGAACCCCTAAACTGTAACTCCAATGCTTTTCCTCTAAAGACATCGAAGTTAGTGCCCCCATTCTACACCAAGGCTGTGTATAGAGAGGTTCTAGAGAGATAGGGCCATAATCAAAATAAATATATCCTACATTTTCCCCACATCATGAGAGAGACTAAATGTTGGAGAAGTCAGAAGAGCAACTGAGTCTTCTTTAGGGTTCAAGGTATGACAGAACATTCGCTCCCCAAGGTGCGTGTTTGGAAGGAGGGGGAGAATATCTTTACGCATATCGAGGTCTTTTTTGCCGGGCTGGGTTGGCATTGGGGTAATGTTACATATTCTTAAGAACAAACAAAAACAAAACCCCAGATGTGGTTTTCCAAACTCATCCTCTTAGCTAAGTCTTCCATTAGTGACTGTAAAATAATGGGGAGAAGGCATTTGCGGTGCAGCCTCAACTAACACGTTTCCTACCTTTCGGGGTCAAGGGAAGAATACAGGGTATGAAGAGAACAACGCTGTGGTAGGAAATTATAAATATATTGCACTTTGTATTTGAAGTTGCTAATGAAAGGGCATAAAAGTAGATGGGAGAAAACCAATAGAGGTTAGGGCTGGATGTTTTGTACTTGTCTGGGTCTGAGTGAATGGTATGATTGTCACAATTGACATTACATAGTCCCTTTTAGATGAATGTAGCTGTTGGGGGAATTTCCTTCATCAGCCACAGAAATAAGGGTGCTATTCTAGCTTCAAAGTGTACACACAAAGAAAAGCATGCAGCTTGATAGTTGAGAAACTAACCTAAAGTGAAGTTTATTTAGAAAACAACAGTAGTTGAATGAAGCCTGATCTTGATGCTGTCCCCAGGGACAATATTCCAAGGAAGTCATCAGCAGTCTGCTACTGTGTCTTTGATTTGTTTAGGTTTAAAATTTCATTTTCAAGATGAAAAATAAATTTTAAGATTCGAACGTCCCCCAAAATTCTGTTCTAACCAGTTTTTGGGTAAATGAAGGTGTGTGGAGGGAATATGAGGGTAACAGACTATAGAGGTTCAAAACCTTTCTAATGCAATTAAGTCTTCACATGGCCTTCAGATGGCTTCCTCAACATCATCAAGGTCAGAGGTATGTGCAAATGCTAACAAGATATACATATATACCCGTATGTACACATACATACATATATGTTTAACTGATAAAGACTTTATAAAAGTATTTGACAAATACATGGTCAAAAATACATCATAGGATTAAAGTATGTAGAGCTGAAAGGGACTTTGAGAGACCACCCCATTATTTTCTAGATGAAGACACTGAGTTTCAGGGAAGTTCGATGATTTGCCCAGGATCACCTAAGTAGTAAACATCAGAAAGGAGATTTGGGCCCAAGTTCTCAGGTTCAGAGTCAGTAATTAAGTTGAACTGTTTTTCTTCTTTAATTTTCATAGGCACCCAAGTATTATCTTTTCCATCCTCTCCCCTTCCCCTACTATTCTTACTTTATAACTTGTATTTAATGTCTTGCCACTCTGATAATACTTAATCTGTCCTTCCTTTATTCCACATTTTTAAAGTATATTTTAAAATAATTTTAAAATGCTGAGCCTCCTCAAATTATTACCACTATAAAAATAGATTATATACATATTATATAGCTATCCATATAGGTAAAGATCTACATATTATATAGCTATATAGAGATATATTACCATTATAAAAATAGGTCACACTGAATTTGTTAGGAAGTTAATTGCTATATATTGTTGCTATATACTGTAACATGAGATTCTCTTTCTTTTGGTGATATGGATGCCATGTGATTAGGTGGTCAGACAAGCACAAACTTCTCAGGAGTCATACCATGACAAAGCCAGAGATCACCCTGATGAAGGTAAGAGTGTTGCTGCTGAATAATCAGATATCGTCTCTTTTTTTATATATACACTAAAGTGACCTACTCTGACATAACTCTGTAAGATTATATGCAGTATTATGATTAGCTAATATAATAATTATAGGTAGTTTTTATAAAATTTAATACAAATGAGAAAATGTGACTGAATTATTTGGTTTTTAAAATTTGTCTGTATTTTGGTGGACATGAGTCTCTCGTGGAAGAGAAACAGTTTAGTGATATTAGCATATGGAGTAATATTTTAAATGTTAAAACATTCATTTTTCTTCTCTTCTCCCCTTCTCCTGAAACCATCACCTTACATTTTGAATGATTTAAGTTACTGATATTTTATGTATTATGTGAAGAGTTTGGTTTTTGTTTTCTTCTAAAATAAGAATTATATATATAATATTTAAAATAAGAATTATAATAGATGGCCCAAGCCCTAGTTTTTTGGTGGAACAATATATGTGTTAATGTCATGGTTGGGGTGAGAAAAGGTAGGCATTATTTGAAGGTAGTACATTAAATTTCATTTTGATCCTTGTATTCCCAGTGCCTAGTACATGGTAGACTCATAATAAATGCTTGTTGATAGATTAATTGGTAGCTTAATTTAGGAAGACGTAGCATTACGTTACGTATTTTTTAAAGTCAGTCATAATTAGAAAATATTGATAACTCATCTGTGTGACCTTGGCCAAATCACTTAACTCCTCTGGGCCTGTCGCCTCTGTTTACTCCTTAAAATGAGGGGATTGTACTATGTGTTCTTTCAATGGTCCCTTCTAGCTCTAAATCCTATGATCCTTTAATCTTCTACGATCAGTTTTTGGCATTTACTGTTTGTTTTGTTTTGTTTGGAGGTGTGGGGGCAGGCTGGGAGGCATAGCTTTAGAATACATATTTGATAGATTAAAGGAAGAGCTTGATATGAGCTAATAGGTCCCAACAGTCGGTAGGGTTCCCTGTATGCCACGCTACGTTTCTGTTCTCCTTAGTTTTGTACAATTGGCATGACCAGAATGAATTGTTCATATATGCAACATGTCCAGCCAGCAGAGGAAGTGAAGCTGTCTGACTATATAATGCCATACTTTCTTCTTGGCCACAAAGTCAGTGATCGAGAGATAAAAATCTATGTGCACCGAACAATTCCAAATACTCACTGCTATTGACAGGATGTTGGTATCGCCATAAAATGGAGCCCTGTAGAGTAAACCTTTTACAAATTTAGATTCTTGCTCATATTTGCCAGATGTGAGTCTTTTCCTGTCGTTTTACATTTCTTTTTTCTGATAACTAAGATTGGATTTTTTCTAAGTGCTCTTATTATTGGTGACCTAAATGAAAGAAAGAGATACTGATGATATGTTGAGAGATGGTCAATGTTATGAAAGTTTGGTACCATATTTGTTCTCTTCAATGTCTCTATTCTGCCTTAGTCCACTTTGTCAAATTAAGTCAGATGGACAGAATTTATTTTTTAGAACATAGGTCTATAAGTACGTTGAACCACATGTTTTAAAAACATCTGTTTTAAAGCTAGGATTTTTTTAAGAGCTGAAGTGCACAGGTGCTGCCTGTTTAAAGTATATACATGTAGAAAATCTTAATTAAAATTTCTATAAACAGGTCTTTTCTGTAGGGTGAATATTTGCCCTTGTGACTATTGAGCTAGAGATACACAAATAAATTGACCTATAAATAAAAAAAATTCAGTGAATCATTCATCATTTGCTTGATTTTTAGCAGGGAAACATCCGGATGGAGGATTATACAACAAGGGCCCATCGTACTCAGGTTATTCTGGGTATATAATGATGCCAAATATGAATAACGACCCTTACATGTCAAACGGATCTCTCTCTCCGCCTATCCCTAGAACAGTGAGTAATATATTTCTATTTGAAGTTGTTTTTTTTTTTATTCCCCTCCAGATTCAAACGTTAGTGATCGTCTTTAAGTATTTGGCTAAAAACACTACTTGAATGTTTATATGTTATACACTAGCTCTCAGAATAAATGCATTTGTGATTACTGGACTTGCTGTAATAGGAATTTTAGTGAGCTCGACCTTTGAGTACTAGCTTTTGAGTTAATTGGAGGTATCCCCATATATCACATGTGAATTTCAATTTTGTTTTGCATCAATTCTGTTTTAATAACTAACCTCCCCCCACACACAAACTACAAGCATACTGTGCTTTTTATATAGAAAGGAAATTTTTAATAGAGTCTTCCAGTTATCTAAGTACTACATAGTTTTTGGTGTCCAGTGGTTATCAAAAAGGAGCATAATAAAGTAGAAAGAGTTAGAACCATATAGATGGTTATAGCTAAAAAAAAAACCCACAACTTTCCATTTATTTGTTAATAATGGTACTACTTTTCAGCTCCATTTTGAATTTTTACAAGGTATTTATTATTATTGAAGATATTACATAGGGGACTGTTCCTCTTTTAGGCAATAGATTGAATGTAACTTTGAAAAAGTTCTAAGTTGTTAGAATTTCAGACTGTACTAATTGTCAAGTGTGTTCTATGTTCCTGGGAAGAGTTAAAAAAAAAAAAAAGAGTAAATTCACTTGGTAGAAGAAAGTCTGATTGAGAAGTCTGATTTATGTAGCGTTTGGATACTTGTTTCAAAAACAAAAATAGGTTGGCCTTTTTTACATAGAGATGACATTACTGACCTGTGAGTAGAGCTTGACTGAATTATTTCTTCCATAATGGTTAGGTATTTGTGTTGACACATCTACTCTCTTTTTACCTTTTGAATCAAAAGCACATAATAGATTAGTGTTTTTAAAAAATTGTGGTCCTGGGTGGAAAAAAAAAGTGAGACTAGCTGACACGGCCATGATCTTAGTTTCATTATAGATCACATGAGGTGTTAAATCCAGGGACACGACGTATTTTAATAAATGTTTGCTGATTTCCAGATAGGTAAAAAAGTTATTTTATTAGTAACAGGAACCATTCACCTTCCAGTATCCACCTAATTGAACCCTTTACCTCGTCGAAAAAAAATTCACAAAATTACCCAAGGTTGATTAAAATATCAATAGCAATCAATTCATGGAGATGATTATTTATGATGATCTTAAATATCTTTTGTTCATACTTTTAAAATGATTGAATACATATTATTAGCTACATAGAACTAGCTTTACATAAGTACTGTGGAGTAGAAATTATTATTTCTTCTATAAAATATAAAAACCAATGTTTGACATTTTACCAAATGACAATATGTCAGACTTTTAAAAGTAGTTTGGTCTTTAAGCAATTGATTTTATTCTTTTGGTTGGGAAATAGGACTTTGGGATTTCATCATAGGAAATACTTAAGAGCACAGGTGTTGGCCTCCTTCCTAAAAAGGTGACTTCATTAATATGACCAAACAGGATTAGGCATTCTGACTCTTAATCGTAAGATGTTTCTCTCTTTTTAAAATTTCCAAATATGTGAGAGAACTTATATTTGGTGGACTAAATAAATGTTAAATATAAGATATTAACTTTAATGTTTTCGTGGGAGAATGTGTTTTGATTGTAGGAATGAATGAAGCCATTCCTTGTTTTTAATTTTAGTTCTAGAGTCTACGTAGACTTAATTAGGAACATCCAGATAGCATGTAGCATCGGGTTTACCAAATAAGAGAGCTTCTGTTGAAAAATATTTAGGATAACAATTTTTTCAGCATCTTGAATTATAGTTTCCAATGTGCTGATAAATATACACATATATGGCCATTAGAAAAAAAAATCTCATGCCACCTTATTCATGATTCCTAGAAGGTGAGACTGTCCTGACTGATCTTCCCTTTACATTTTTTTAAAAGTTCACCCAACCTACATTTTTTGGAGCAGATAAATAAGACCCAAGAAAACCTCCAAACTTCTCTGCCCTCTTGAAACCAGTGCTCTTCCCTTTCTACTCCTCAACTTAGTCCAGCAGAAACTGCTTGAGGATTTTGATTATGGGGTGGCTAGGAGAAAAGTACTTGGGTAGACCTCAAATCATTTGTATAAATGTGAGTTGTTGTTCTAGCGATTATTTCAGGGGAGATACTGGTGATCATGTGAAAGCCTTATATTTTCAGGGAATTGATTAAAACTCTGAAGTCAATCTGTTGAACAGTTCTTTGCTTGGACACCTTATGGCAGAGTCAATATAACGTGTGTGTGTGTGTGTGTGTGTGTGTGTGTGTGTGTGTGTGTGTGTAGCTTGATGGCTTAAGATGGTAAAGGCTGTGGGTAGAAACCATTTCCCCTTGCTGACATGGTTTATCTTCTGCCTGCCATTTTTTTTTTCTGCTACATTTTTGAACAAATTTCTCTTAGGCAATGTTTTCTCGTGGTACTCTCGAGTTTGCATAATTCCAGAAGCTGTTCAGGTCTAGCCACAAGGCTCTGTGTGTTTAGTTACAGAATATTTTTTTAGAGTCCAACTGAACTGCAGTCTTTTGCTTTTTAATGCTCAACAGCTGGGTTTTGGGTTGGGTTTTTTTTTTTTTTTTAATGTGTAAGAGATCAAAAACACTTTAGCCGGAAGACAACCTCTCAGCCTTCCTCCTACTCATTCACCTCAGCCTTCCTGCTCTTCCACTGTGTTCTTAGCTGCCTTGAGCTTCTAACTGCTTCTGGAGCCCTCACTAGCCTCAGCTAGGTTCCCATCAAAGGTGTCAGAGGTAGGTGACCATTTGTGTGAGTTTTTGGGTCTTGGGTGGCAGCCACCCTGTGGCATCCCTGCCATTTGGTATTTGCATAACAAAGCAACCACTTGTTTACTGCATCTGTTGCCTGGAGGTGTTAGGACTGGAAACTACCTGGTAACCTAGGTTCCTTCTCCCACCCCATCCAGAGCATCCTCAGTGATTTGTATTTATTGACAGATGAACCTGAAAATGCCAACGAGGGCTAACGAGTGTCAGCTGCTTCTGTGAATGAAAGATATTTCATTAATTCTTAATACAATTGCCCTTCTTTAGGTAAACACACACTCAAACACGTTAGAGAATCCAATTTTGTTTGCTTGTTGTTTTTTTTTCTTTTCCCCTTCCAGGATTTGTGGAGATGAATTTTTACAAGATGTTTATGTGAAATCCAAGGGAGGGGGAAGTGAGGGGGTTTCACAAAGTCAAGATAATACGTCCCTAAGAAGAAACCATTTACAAAGACCCACTGGACATTAATGTGTTAACTCGGTAAAACTTTATTTGAGTTTGTCTTAACAGAGACTGAAAAGAAGATACAGAAGTTTCATTAGATGTTTTGAAGCAGGAACCTAGGAGAGTTTATTAGAAGCACACTGCAAAATTTCTCTGAATACCAGTAGGCGAAATTGATTTCAGCTTTGCTGACTTCACTCTGGTTGCCTTCAATGTGACTGTCTATTCATGGATGGTGTCAAACTTCCATTTGTCCCTTACAGCCACACAAAGACTTAACACCTCACGAGAGAAGTAATTCGCTTTTCTTCAGGTCTATAGAGAGGGGAAAAGCAGTATCGATGAGCACGTTCAGGGAGCCAGAGCAAAAGCTGCTGTTGAAATTCATACCCAAACCACAATACCATCTGGATTGTGCAAATATTGCTAATTTAATCCTTCATTTTTTTTCTTGTTGTTTTTCTGATGAGAGAAGATGACAGTATGTGAATCAGATTTGTTGAAAGTGGCATTTTTCATATAGTAAGGCCTTTTGTATTTTATCCTGATTTGTATCACTATCATTGAAGATTTCATCTTCCATTTCACTGTTACATGACTTTTATTTTAAAGAAGTCAACATTTTTAATTATGTGATGGATAGAATTATTCTCAAAATAATTTTTCTTTAAAGTCCTCTCGATCTCACATACTCATACATTTAAAGGCAACTTTAAAAAAAATCTGTTTGAAAATACTAAAGCAACCAATGCATTTGACTGTTCTTTTGCATGAATAAAGTTCCAAATGCTACTATGTATGATGCAAATGTACAGACTCAAAGGAATAACTTTTTGTTGTTCAGTTATGTTTAACTCTTCATTGCCTCATTTGGAGGTTTTCTTGGCAGAGATACTGGAGTAGTTTGCCATTTCCTTCTCTATCTCATTTGCAGATGAGGAAACTGAGGCAAACAGGGTTAAGTGACTTGCCCATGGTCACACAACTAGTAAGTGTCAGAGTCTGGATTTGAACTCAGATCTTACTAACTGCAGGCCTGGCACTGTATCCTGCACCACCAAGCTGCCCTAAAAGGATAAGTAGTAATGGAACTAAGACTTGACTTTGCTGAATCCTTATTGATACATTCCATTCTGGCTCTAGATCTTATGAATCTTTTCACTATTTAAAGAAATCAGCAATTTCAGCCCTTCCCACTCTTAAAAAAAAGGTTCCATGAATTTCTGTGCTTTTTAAAAAATTACTACCTGGATGTTGGGGCCCCAGTGTTGAAGTCTGGCCTTTCCACAGTCATGCAGTCCTAGGCTGAGCCATATTCTGAGACTTCAGAAAGAGAGAGAGAGAGAGAGAGAGAGAGAGAGAGAGAGAGAGAGAGAGAGAACTTTGAATCACCCTTTGAGAACTTAGGGACAGCTCCATTCTAATTGAGGCAGCAGAGTATGATCTTAGGGGAAGTATTTCTTGATAAAGTTATTTTCTGGTCATTTGTACACTCTGGTTGGAAGGAGGCTTATTTATTCCTTCACCCCACTCCCAACCTGGTCTAGGGAACATGTTTTAATTGTAGGTAGAAGGTAGGTAGGCTATTGAAAATGTAATGTTTGCTCCTAGACATAAACAGTAAGAGGTAGGAAAAATAAATGGGTGCAGATTTCTTTTCTGTCTCTCATCTGTACAGCTGGCTTCTACAAGCCTAGAAAAGGGCCCTTTGAA